TGCTTAGCCCCTTTTTGAATATCAAGCTTGTGCACAGGCCTCTCTCTTCCTTCTTGCTTCACACCTGCTATTGACCCCAAGCCAAGCAATGGCCTTGTTATTTATAAGGGGTGCGGCTATGCCGTGTTCTCGGTGTATGCGCGAAGTTCATCTTCTATACCGTCCATAGTTGGCGGGCAATTCGTCGTTCATGCATTTGGGACCGTTGTCGCTGGAGATTGAACTGAGTGCTAGGCTTCCGCTGTCGGTCCGGCCCGGGTGATGAAACTGAACGTACTTTGGTTAGTCATTCTGCTTGTATCGACTTCCGTTTGTCCCTCTGTTCCTGATCCTTTCAAGCATAGAATGAGGCGAGTGGGGATTGCCGGGTTTTAGGCTTATAAATCATAGGGGGGATTACTTCATAAAGAAATGCTTTCAAAAGGGAAATGTGAAGTACTCTTACCGGGACGCCAGATGAAGCAAAAATCCTTTGAATGAATGCCTTAGTAAGGTATCATGCCTTTGAAAGCAATTACCATGTCGTCCGAAGGGGATTCACTGTCAATTCCTTTAAGGAATGTCGGGATGCTAAAGAAATATTGCCATGAGACTAGTGCAAAGAAGTAAGAATAAGTCAAAGTGAAATCTGTTAATGAAATATCTGTCTCGCCCTTAGCTTGCAAACAAGCCCTTATATAAAACAGGCGTCTAAGAATAAGAAGTCCCTGCTTTGGCTCTTTCTCTAAGACCGTGGTTAATAAGTTCCGTCGTTATTCTTTTTTTGTGCAAAAGAAATCCCGGGTTCCACTTTGAGTTTGGCGTCTATCGTTGGTCTTTTCAATTTCTTTATTTGGCTCTTTGCTCAGGATCTACGTCTTTTCCCACTCGTCTTTACTTTGGGGGCGGACCAAGCCCTTCATATGGTCCAGCCCGATGGGGCAGGTAGTTCCGGTGGAGAAGGTCCATCAGGCTACTACTCACCTCCTCCTTCGATCTCCACCCAGGGAGAATCATGGATTGATAGAGTCTTTGGTGGAACGGGGGGTGACGAGGCAAGCAGTGCCCCACCCGCAAGCGTGGATAAAGCGGGAGGCGCCGGCCATAAAAACAATAGCAATCCGCCCCTCAGAGAGAGGGGAGACTCGGTAGATGTCTTACTGGCAAATCTCCGCGCGTTGCGGGAACAGGATATATCAGACGCCTGCTCGCAAGAGCAATATCACATTGTCGCTGGGACGCACGCTATATTGGAGCGGGCGGGAATCGTCCTACAGGATCCAAATTCGAGCGTGCAGTGAATATTGCCATGACGGGTCAGGAGCAGGAGAAGAGCGCTCTGGCCGAGACCACATCAAAGGAACTAAAGCTTTCACTGACCCCACAGGCCTTTTTGCTATCACACAAGAAGAATTCCTTATTGCCAATGATGCTAACCATACCTCACTAGCCTTAGCTGAGTGAATAGAAAGATGAACATAGCATAGTAAGTAGTGAGACCTTAAAGGCCTAGTACGACCAGACAGAAGCAGAATCCTAGTGTTCCCCCAGGGATTGGTCATTCATGAGCCTTTATAGATCAGGCCAAAAGAAAGAGTAGCGGTGACAAGTATACGCCAGCCCCGTCAAGCAATGCTTTCGCCCTGTCCAACTCTATGCAATTGTGAATCTCGACTTGATGAGAAAAGTCTTAAGATAGATCGTAGTCAAACAGGGCATCCCTTTACTCTCTACCGGCTGATGCAAGAAAGTAGACAGGGTCAAACGAGACTGAGCTTTTCTATCAGCAGCTCAACCTGAGTACTTTGGAAATAAATCCCTCTCGCCAAGACTAGTTCTCTTAGCAGTAGGAGTCGACCCCATATAAAGTTCTGACCATCTATCAGAGCAAAACGAATGAATTGGCGCATTACCCCGAGATTGTTCCCTTTCTTCCGGAAACGGATGTTTTAGCGTGGGTTTATGGCTCTTTTCGTTCCGTTTTAAGAAAGGCCAAGAACTTGATCTTTGTTTTCGTTGTTGAATCTTTCAATATTCCGAATCTAAAAAATATCTTGGCTGTCCATACATATTATCTCTCATTTCATTAATGTATATATTCTAATATCTACTTTAGCATTTCCCATATAAAATAGAATATATGATATATGCGATTTGATGTTTATTATTTCATATTTTATCATTGATCATTTCATATATCATAATAGATAGATTCTAGGATAGAGATAGATCTATATAATATATCTCTATATTCTAGATATAGATAGATTATATCAACAGTAAAAACTAACATCTTTCTTGAGACTTAAACTAATAAGGAATGAATGAAAATTCGGGATGGAATCCACTATTTACAGAAAAAAGGATTGAGTTATTAGAGAATAATAAATATAGCGAGAAGTTCATTCTTCGTCACCGCAGTGAATATAATAGAGCAAATACAATTTATTCATTCAAATATATGAAAAAAGAAATCCACTTGGTTTCAGACTTGGTACAAACCAAGGCCATTATTCACTTTGTCAAAACCGTCATGACTCAATCATGTATAGGCTATCGTAGATCGGCCTTTGCCAGGAAGTCCCATAAACCCTCGGAGGTCAAGACACCAGGAAGAACTGCCGCTCGCTACGTTCCCTCTAAGAGTGAAGGGCAGAGAGTTCTGGTCTCTCTTCTTGCGCATAGGACTTCTTTATTTCATAGCCAGATAGATGGAACTCTGATTAAGAAGGAATTGATTCCCCTCCTATATAGAACAGGCTCGTAGGCAATTCAAACATTTGGACTCCTGCGTATCCTTTCAAAAGAAGGAAGCTCTTCTTCTCAAGGCAAAGGGATATTTGATAATAAAGTAACCTATTCGCTCAAGAGCAAAAAAAGAGCTAAAGGTATAGGCTTCAATCAAATAAGTATTTCTACTTCATTAACGAATTTATATAACTTGCCTTAGGTATTGAAAACTCACTTCTTAGCTAGCACTTGTGCCAGGAAAGAAATGAATCTATCAGCGCCTTAGACCCCTTAGATAGAGTGAAAGGAAAGAACGAATTCTTAAGATAAGCTATTCCCTTTAAGGGAAAGAGATCTATCTATTACTGAAGCCCCAATGGACTCAACTTTCTCCCAACGGAAGAAAACACTTCCCTGCTACTAGGCTAGCTGATTATCTAGTCTGGATCTTTATAAGGTATATTATATCGGCTCCATCGAAAGCGGAAGGATTCCAATTTGATGACGGCCTAATCAATTTCAAACCTATCTTTCTTTCTCGCCTGAAGGCACAGGCAGGCCTATCTCATTGGTGGTTCAGGATCAACGGATGCCTTAGTAAGCTACTGGAGCGAAAGGAACAAAACAAGTGAGGATGCTCGAGGTCCAAACTCAAAATAAGTCCTTGTTGCAGGCTTCATACAATTGAACTTATTTAGGAGCCCGTAATAAATCAATAAAAGCAGTTCCAGCAGCAATCCCTTGCTTTCGTACCATGGCTGTAATTTACTTATAGAGTACAACAGCCGATTCCATAGGCATTCTGGCTTGATGAATGCTTGAAAAATCCCTTCCTTCTTTTTGGCTTATTCAACAAACGGTATAAGACTTATCTAATATCACTACCGCACTATCTATGTCCTATTCTTAGACTCTTATACCTGCTCCGATCGGAGATGAAAACAAGAGAGAAGGAGCTGCTATTGAATCCGGTCTTAGATGGTTGGAAGACAGAAGCAATAGCATGATAGGAATAGCAGGTTTAATAGAGATGACATCACAATAGGATGAAGACGAGACTTCTTATCTGCTTTCACGTGGAAATGGGAGAATGTAAAAATTCCTTTGAAAGGCAACTAGTGAGAGGGATTACTTGCTAACGTCCCTCAGGGATTGGACAACAACTAGGCTATTAGCAAGAATAGGTTTTGCAAGTGAATCAGAATAAGAGTTAGCAGGGCTAGGCTCCCTCTCCTTGGGCTTGTTGGCCTAGCTGTTGGTTTTTTCCGGTGCTAGTGAATCAGATGTTTGAAGGCAAAATGCCACAGAAGGAAGAGAAATAGCTGTTCGCAAGGGAAGTGACATAGTTAGTGGAAATGG